CCACGTCCCCATAAACAGTAAGAGAAAGAGAGAGAGGAGGAGATTGGCCAATGTGCGGTCCCTCGCCCAATGTCTTATGCCTCGCTGGGGCAAAGAGAAGAGAAGAGGAGCGGATAAGGGAGGAGATTGGCCAACGTGCGGTCCCTCGCCCAATGTCGGCTGCCTCGCTGGAGCTGGGTAAAGAGGAGAGGAGCGGATAAGGGAGGAGATTGGCACACACGGTGGCGCTGCCGGCGCCGAGGATAGCAAGAGAAGGTGCAGTTTGATCTGATCATCTGGTTTGCTATTTCTCTAAGGCCAACGTGCGGTCCCTCGCCCAATGTCGGCTGCCTCGCTGGAGCAAAGAGAAGAGGAGAGGATAAGGGAGGAGATTGGCACACACGGTGGCGCTGCCGGCGCCGAGGATAGCGAGAGAAGGTGCAGTTTGATCTGATCATCTGGTTTGCTATTTCTCTAAGGCCAACGTGCGGTCCCTCGCCCAATGTCTTCTGCCTCGCTGGGGCAAAGAGAAGAGGAGCGGATAAGGGAGGAGATTCGCCAACGTGCGGTCCCCCGCCCAATGTCGGCTGCCTCGCTGGAGCTGGGGCAAAGAGGAGCGGATAAGGGAGGAGATTGGCACACACGGTGGCGCTGCCGGCGCCGAGGATAGCAAGAGAAGGTGCAGTTAGATCTGATCATCTGGTTTGCTATTTCTCTAAGGCCAACGTGCGGTCCCTCGCCCAATGTCTTCTGCCTCTCTCTCAATCTCACTATTTTTGCCGCCGTGATAGGCGCCGCCAACAGCAGCAGCTACCTGGTTGATCCTGCCAGTAGTCATATGCTTGTCTCAAAGATTAAGCCATGCATGTGTAAGTACAAGCCGATTTAAGGCGAAACCGCGAATGGCTCATTAAATCAGCTATGTTTCATTGGATCTGTAAACCCACTTACTTGGATAACTGTGGCAATTCTAGAGCTAATACATGCAATTGGTCTCTGACCGCAAGGGAAGAGCGCTTTTATTAGTTCAAAACTGGTCGGGCCCTGGTCCGTAACCCACCTGTGGTGAATCTGAATAACTTCGGGCTGAGCGCACGGTCTCCGCACCGGCGCCGCTTCTTTCAAGTGTCTGCCTTATCAGCTGTCGATTGTAGGTTATGCGCCTACAATGGCTATAACGGGTAACGGGGAATCAGGGTTCGATTCCGGAGAGGGAGCCTGAGAAACGGCTACCACATCTAAGGAAGGCAGCAGGCACGCAAATTACCCACTCCCGGCACGGGGAGGTAGTGACGAAAAATAACGATGTGAGTCTCATCCGAGGCCTCGCAATCGGAATGAGCACTTTAAATCTCTTTAACGGCATCCATTGAGGCAAGTCTGGTGCCAGCAGCCGCGGTAATTCCAGCCCACAGCGAGCATAAAGTTGTTGCGTGTTAAAAGCTCAGCTGGATCTCAGTTCCGACTGACGGGTGCACCGCCTCGGTGTTTACTGTCACGCCCTAACAGTTTCGCTGGCTCGCACGGGATGCTCTTTTGTCGGCGTCCCGAGGGCCGGAGAGTTTACTTTGAAAAAATTAGAGTGCTCAGAGCAGGCTATTTGAATGGCCCGAATGGTGATGCATGAAGAATGGAACAGACCCCGGGTTCTATTTTTGTTGGTTTTCGAACCAGAGGTAATGACTAATCGGAACAGGCGGGCATTCTGCATTGTACGCTAGAGGTGAAATTTTGACCGTCGTAAGACGAACTATCGCGTAAAGCATTTTGCCAAGGATGTTTTCATTAACTAAGAACGAAAGTTAGAGGTTCGGGCATGACGATACCGCTTCCTAGTTCTAACCATAAACGATGCTATTCAGCTTATCCGGCCAAGTGTTATTCCCATGACCCGGCGGGCAGCTTCCGGGAAACCAAAGTCTTTGGGTTCCGGGGAAGTATGGTTGCAAAGCTGAAACTTAAAGGAATTGACGGAAGGGCACCACCAGGAGTGGAGCCTGCGGCTTAATTTGACTCAACACGGGAAACCTCACCAGGCCCAGACACCGGAAGGATTGACAGATTGAGAGCTCTTTCTCGATTCGGTGGGTGGTGGTGCATGGCCGTTCTTAGTTGGTGGAGCGATTTGTCTGGTTAATTCCGATAACGAACGAGACTCTGGCCTACTAAGTAGTCGACGGATCTCCAGAAAATGGTGTCCAGTTCGCAACTTCTTCTTAGGGGGATAAGCGGCAATTCTAGCCGCACGAGATTGAGCAATAACAGGTCTGTGATGCCCTTGATGTTTGGGCCGCACGCGCTTACACTGAAGGGATCAACGAAGTTTTCCTCCGAGAGTGAGATGGTAAAATCTGCTCAAAGCCTTTCGATAGGGATTGGGGCTTGCAATTGTTTCCCATGAACGAGGAATTCGTAAGTGTCATCAGCTTGCGCTGACTACGTCCCTGCCCTCTTTGTACACACCGCCCGTCGCGCCACCGATTGAATGATTTAGTGAGGCCTTCGGACTGGCGCTCTTGGATTGTCGGCCCCGTTGCCCGCGAGGGTTTTCTGGGGTCGTCGCCTCGAGCTGACGGAAAGATGTCCAAACTTGATCATTTAGAGGAAGTAAAAGTCGTAACAAGGTTTCCGTAGGTGAACCTGCGGAAGGATCATTAACAGAGAGAAAGAGAACGGGGCGCTCCTAAAACTACTACTACTCTCCTGATTTGGGCGGTCTCGGGCTCTGCTCTGGCAACTCCAGCAGCGAAAGAGGACAATCCCGGCCCCCGCACCAAAAATAGGTACCACCACGCTGTAGGTGGACCACACTCGGGCGAGAGCGCGAAGACCGGAGGAGGAGGACGGACGGGGCTTTGGACGGCTGCCCGTCCGTTCCTTACTACCGGCGAATAAGCCTCTTGACCCAAAAAGAGGGAAATTCAAGTGTCAAAAAACAACAACAAGCCGTCCGGCCAAACCCAAACCACAAACTTGGGCTATGTCTGTCAAACCCTTTCATTGAGACTCGACCTGTGATGGTTAGTCGCAAAAAGACCAAATGGCAAATACACAACTCTAACGGGGATCACCGGCTGTGGTCGATGAAGATCGCGAGCAAAACCGCGCGGTCGGCATGTGAATCGCGAAGAACACCAGATACATCGGCTGTTGAACGCATTGCGGCGCGGCAGCCATATGAGCTTGTCGCCGCCATTTACGCAGGGTCGAAATATACATCCATCGTGGTTGCCGCGGTAGTTCGGTGCCTGCTGACTGTCTCCCGACACGGTGGTAACTCAACCGAGCCTCCGCTGGTTTAATCGCCCGCTTTTTGCGCGAGGCGCGTCTTAAAAACAAGCAAGTTTATCACTAGCAAGTCCATGGACTTGGCGCACCCACATTCACAACAAAGCGACAGTTGTCGCCCTCGCAAATAACTGGAGGCGGCGCTCTTTTGCCTGCTGTCCACAGAGACACTAATGGCCGTCGGCCGCTCATGGCTGATGCTGCACATGTTCTAAGAGGCACTCCATCCCACGAAGAGGAAACGAAACCGGGTCGGATATCTTTTAAGTAAGCCCCGCCGGAATTTCGTCTATCACCTCGAAAAGAGTGCTTGGCATGCATTGCAGTGGAACCTAAATTGATGAGTGCGCCTGGGCCCGCAGTCTACCAT